CTCACGATCTGATACGTATCGTGATACTTACATGTGCACTTATCTGTGGTGCGTAAGCCATCTTTTTCATACTTGGACCACTAATGATTAACAGTTGGCAGTGTCAGGTATGGTGCAAAGGATGATAATATTTACGTTTTCACTACTCATTTTCACTAGTAATTAGTGTTTGGTGTAACACTATTTTCAAGGAAACATTTAACTTTAACATGTTTAAGGTAAGAATCAATACTTTATACTTAGTGTGTGACTGTGATCGATACTTGTATCGAGAAGTAAAAAACGCAATCCACCGATGCATCAGTGTGTTGTCCCTCCACTTGGACAAAGTGTAATCAGAGCGTGTACAGTGTAACAGTTTTAATTTTCATCATTGCTCTGGACACTGAATCAGTGTGATAGTTAAGAGGAGATGGGATCTGTGACAGATAGAGCCAGTACTTAAAAACATCTTTGCATCGTGTTGAAGTTACTTTGTATGCAATACTGTGGTTTTCATTGGGAGGAAAAGGGGAATCAGAACACAACTGCCTAAAGAAACTGCTACCCACTGCCAGGCAGTTGCTATGGAAACCAGATAATATGCAAGGATGAGAAGTTTTCGTGGATTGTTTTTACATTACGTTTATGTAAGGAAACTTTATTTCAGTATCACAGCATGTACTTTATTCTTTCAAACAATGGAAGTTGCGAACATTCCCTCTTGAATCGTGTGACTAGGTGAGGACTTGGGCTGGCTGTCGATACATACAGAGATCAATAATCGTTAACTGAATATCGATTAATTATCGCTTAATATAAGAGAAGTAACTTTGAGCAAATTTGCAAAAATAAGTTGGAAAGACAACAACATATTTGACACCAGTGGTGAGTGTGGCACAGTTATTCATGGATTACTTAGTGGACATTTAAGATAACAAACGGTTGTTTTCCGTTTTTTGGCATTTGACATGATTGACAAAAACAAATCTGTTTTGGTAGATCTAAACTTTATTTCACTACAATAGTTTTTGTAAGTTATTATCGATGACAACAATTTCATATTCATAATCGTTAATATTTCTTCCAATCAATGATAATTCCTATTATCAATCTTTTTGGCCAGCCCTAGTGAGGACTGAGCCGTGGGTGTGTGAGTGGACCCAGGCAGTGAGCTGGGACAGCAGACCAAGTATTATTGTGTCATCACTTTTGTATCCGATATGAACCGTTGATCGGCTCCCTTCATGCTGCCTTGTGACTTTACTACAGTGTGTAGGTTATTCAACAGTGTTAATTATGAATAATAGCAAGATGACCTCTACATGGGGTCTGTTGTAGGACTTTGGTTTTATGTTTGTGTGGTAATTAAGTGCCATAATGACTAGAGTTGTTTATTTGCCTTGATTTACCAGTGAGCCTCCAAAAATACGATTGGTTGTGTTTGAGTGGGCCAACTTGCACAGGTTAATCAGTATTAAGTGCTAACTATATACTTATATATCATCATATCAAAGTCCTATTCCACTTGCATAAACCAACCTTAATGCAATTGTTTGACGGCTTTGATTTAATATCGCAATCTTAGCTAAGACTGAAGTTTTCTGTGATGGAGGTGCAAATGCCTCAAGTATGACCCCTGTCAACAGATGAACTGGCTGCACATACCAGCGGGACCGGTTATGATAGTAGCTCCATCAACATGATCGCTCTTTACATTGATTTTAAAAAAGGAGCCCAAAAAATTTAAGGTATTAATTTCTGGCATTGATACCACATAGCAATAGTAAGTAAGAGGAATACCCTTATCATGTTTAATGAAAATGACATCCTATTAAAAGACAAACTATCCTTCTGCAGTGTTGGCTGAAGAGCGCGTTTTTGCGTCTTGGACGCACAAAAATGAGTTTGAACGCACCTGCGTAACATGTGTGGGTCTCGTGGACGCAGTGACTGGGGCGTTATTAATTTCATATCGAATTGACACTGTTATCGTAAATCAAAGACATACGTCTTTGCGTAAAGGTATTTGTTGCCAAACAAGACAGGGAAGCATGTTGATTAACACTTCCGTTTGCTAAACCAAACCAGTTTCATTATTCTCTCCCTGTTTATGACAAATACCCAAACCGGTTTCTTGACCTATATCTATTTTCGGTTTTGCATGTATTAATGTTTGGTATGGTCCTTAGCTTTGCTTCAGCCAATCAGGTGCCGCATATTAAGCAGGTCGGATATAGTCGTAATTCATTTAGCTTGATTGGTCGAAAATATCCCGACCTTGTGTCAAACTAAAAATAGCCCGGCACATGAAGGGTATACTTCAGAACGTGGTAACCGTGACCCGCGAAATCGAGCGACCGTGTAGGAAGGTACGCTATGTTATCGCAGTAGTTAATTCATAATGGATTGAAATGGGGCACGCTTATAACCTTATTAAATATGTGATTCAAATATTTTTTGTTGTTCATTGGATTGATCGATGCTGATTTTCTTTACCGAGTTCGGTAAACAAAGTTCCTGTGTGGGTTATATGGTTTACATCACGTCCTGTTTTGTATTTTACATACGACCGAGGTTTGATCAAGGGACTTCGTTTGAACAAATGGGTTCTTCTTCGTATCAATTTCGAATGGAGGTAGGGGTAATTCCACTTCAAAAAAATCCCAGAAACTATCATAAAGAAGGTAACGTGTGTACAAGTAGCCGTGACATACCGCAACGAGTCCTGTATTCAATCATGCAATGAAATATATCGTGCTTAGATTTGCATAAGTAAACAGTCGACAGTTTGTGTGGATTTCGAGATTTATCGATACCGCCATACTGTATATGATAAAGAATAAATGCGGACACTTGAATGTAAGCATTGTTTTTATTTAGCGGACTCTGAATATTTAGTTATTCTACAACAGACCTATCAAGCTGATTATAATTCAATCTCTTGTGGGTTATATTAAGAATTGCAAAACACATTTTGACAGAACCGTTATTAGTGTAAATGACATGTTTTAACATTTATAGCACCTGAAACATGTTCATTGTTGACTAGATTTATGAAGGAAATGCTGGATCCTGAACATACTCTTACTTAAAAAAACTGTTTGATATCCCAATTATGTTATGACTCATTGATCATTGTCACAGTTACGACATGAACTCACTACTCAGTACAGTAGCATCAGAACAGCCATTGAACTTGACTGAATCCATAAACTTCAAATCATTGGAAGATCTAGATATAAACATTAACAAATGTCTGCCCCTATGACCCCTTACCAATGGCTGATCACCCGTGTACTGCCTTTTCATTTACAAAGTTAGATATTAACATGGATAGTTTTGTGTTAAAATATTCATTAGTATCAAATTTCCATTTTAAGAAATTGTTTGTCCCTTAAGGTCCCTCTTGGTCATGAGAGCAGGATGTGTCCTGATGTGAACCTTTCTCTCACTTTGCCTGTTTGTTGATATTTTGCAGCTGCGAAAAGATGTCTGATTTTTCACAACCACTGTATTCTGTTGTTAATGTTATATTATGATGCTACAAATTGGACCCCTCCATTTTTGTTTGGGACCCCTAATTTTTTGATGAAGGGGTCCAAGTGACCCCAAGAAAATTTAAGCCAGAGCAGACACTGCTTCTGTATGGCTCTTGATGTTGGTGGTTGTATGCATGTCTGTATAATGAATCTGTGCTGTTTGTGTTACTACATGGCTTTAATGCTTGCTGTAAAAGGTGACTATAGCCCCATTCACATGGACAAAATTTACTCATGTAAGCAAAAGTATATTTACATTGCGTTCACATGAAGTTTATGCAAGGCAGAAGTAAACATCTTTCATAAATAAATTGTTGACATTTAAACATTTGAGGCCATGTCGCTGTCGGAGATAGTCAACCAGAGGCGAAAGAGAGACTTTCCATACTTTCTTAGTATGGGATTAGTCTTAGGATTATGCCAGGAAAGAGAACTGTGGAAGAGAGAACTTTCTCAACACTGGTTGAACAATGTGGCAGTGATTGTTACCCAGTGGCATTGATTGTTACCCTGTGGCAGTGATTGTTACCCTGTGGCAGTGATTGTTACCCTGAGGCATTGTTACCCTGAGGCATTGTTACCCTGTGGCAGTGATTGTTACCCAGTGGCAGTGATAATTACCCTGTGGCAGTGATTGTTACCCAGTGGCATTGATTGTTACCCTGTGGCAGTGATTGTTACCCTGTGGCAGTGATTGTTACCCAGTGGCATTGATTGTTACCCTGTGGCATTGATTGTTACCCTGTGGCAGTGATTGTTACCCAGTGGCAGTGATTGTTACCCAGTGGCAGTGATTGTTACCCTGTGGCATTGATTGTTACCCTGTGGCAGTGATTGTTACCCTGTGGCAGTGATTGTTACCCTGAGGCATTGATTGTTACCAAGTGGCATTGATCGTTACCCTGAGGCATTGATCGTTACCCTGAGGCATTGATCGTTACTCAGTGGCATTGATCGTTACCCTTACGCACTGATCTTTAACCGAGGCATTGAACATTATTCTGAGGCATTGATCTTTAACCAAGGCATTGATCGTTGCTCATTCTATCAACCACTGGTTTGACTAGACTTGATGATGTACAGAAAGGTGTGATACAGATTGAACATGGGTCAAAGTGAGCGTGGCTCACTAATACCCCCGACCCGCCTAGTATGTCAGTAGTTTCAAATTAAATAATGGATAGAGTTAGGGTTTGAAAAATTCATAAAAAATGGAAAATTCATAAAAACAATTTTTTTCTTTTGACTGCACCCCTCCATATGACACAGATTATATGTAAGTTTGAGATGAATCCACTGAATAGTTTAAGAGAAATCCCGCGGATAAAGTTTTCGGACGGACGGACGGAACCTTGGTATAACTATATACACCCGACCTTTTTAGGTCGGGGGTATAAAAAGATTTAAAAGCTTCACTTGATGCTGTATGTTTGCTGTACTTCGTACACACCTGCAGTCATGAGATGTGTATGTTTTCAGATGTTCAAGAACAAGGCGAAGGATATTGCGGACAAGCTGCTCCCAGCCTTCAACACCCCGACGGGCATCCCACAGTCCATGGTCAACATCAAGACGTTAGTGCACTTACTAGGACTTTTTGTTTAAACCGCCTCCGAGGTCTAGTTGCGGAAGGTCAGTGGTTTGATCCCGGCTGCATCACACCGAAAGATGTTAAAACATGTTACTTGTTGTTACCCTGTCTGGTGCTTGGCATTAAAGGGGTAAAACAAGGATCGGTTGGCTCAGAACATAGTCTGAGTGGGGTATCTATGTTAAACTGGGGCATGGTATTTCAGTGGAATAACACTCTTAAACCAGCATTGTATGTGTGGACATCGCTTTAGAAGTACAGCACTATTGAATGCAATGTTAAACCTCATTTTACCTCATCATTTTGTTTAATCAGAGGGTCAAAATAAATAAAACTTATTGTTTTAACTGGTTTTATCATTTGTATGAGAATTTCTAGGTGAAGACATGTATGAATAATTGTTTTACCATGAAATATGTGATATTCTTAATTATATATTGAAGGGGTGAGATGAATTTAGTCCGGAATTAATATATCAGAGATTTTTGTTGTGACTGCTTACAGTGGCAGTAGTCGGAACTGGGGGTGGGCGTCTGGTGGCTGCTCTATCCTGGCTGAGTTTGGATCTCTGCATCTGGAGTTCGCCTACCTGTCGGCCATTACGGGGGATGATACATACCTCAAGAAGGTGAGCTGACATTGCAGTTTCAGTGTTGGAAACTAAACAGTTAGGAGCCCCGGACACTGATGCCTTAGCACCAGACCAAGGGGGGAACCAAGTGGCACAGTGGGCACTGTTGTCTTAGGTGTAATGGTCGTGGGTTTGTATCCCGGTATTATGTTTTAGGTTTGTCAGCACCATACCCGTGTTAATGGCTTCACAGGAGTGTAAACATCTTGAGACCTGCATCACTTCTCCCACATACAGCTGACACTCTGTGATAGAACAAGAAGACTGTTCAAAGCAGCATTAAACCAGACTCACTCACTCACCCATCCACTTGCAGTAGACAGTGACAGCCTGTTGTTTGAAGCAAGGGGTCTGACATGTACCAGCAAGGGGTCTGACATGTACCAGCAAGGGGTCTGACATGTACCAGCAAGGGGTCTGACATGTACCAGGGATTTATTGGCACAGGCTGACAATTATCATTTTGGCTTTGTAGTGGTGACTGATATAAAGGAAGAGGTGTTTATGCTCACCAATAGATCTATTTTATTTGCATTGAAATCTGAATGCAATGTTAAAATACCTCTAAATTATATTTTGGAACAAAACAATGTATTTTTCTAATCATGTTTAATTTGGAATCCTATAAATCTCCCTGTATACTTGTAATAGGTGTATCTTGTTCCAATAGATGTATCTGTGATCAGGCTGTAGACAAGTTTATACATGCATTGTGATCATGACAGACTGTAATGTAAGCCTCCTGACTGATATTGAGATAATATGTATCCATGCGGCTGTGTTGCGTGGTGATTCTGTCAGCAGGTCTTTCCACCATGTTGTGGTCCAGCTGGCCTGTGTTTGGAATTAAGTTCCATCTGGCATGCTTTAGTATAAATGTGGGGAATAACTGGCTATCATGGTGACCCGGATAGTTCTTGGGGGGTGAAAATAGCAATTATTTGTAATTATGAACTTGTAGAAATGTGATTTATTCCCTTATTTCGTTATTTATTGAGGGTTTTATTGTGCAGTTTCAAATGCAGTAGGTATATGGTCATGATGGTGGGCACAATAACCAATAACATATGTTGCACATGTTATTTTGTATTGATTGTGGACACTTGATATTATCATTATGTGACCAGCTTACGAGTTCCTGAGCATCTTCTGCCAAGTTATTCATCTTTTTTGTAATTTTCCATCGATGGCCCACACATCCTGTCTACAAGCAGCTGATCAGCTGTTTATAGATGCTGGCTGTTTATTTCAAGGCATCCATTAAATAAGACAACATTTAATGATTGACAAACGTGCAGATTATCTCATCTCCAGACACGGGTCATGGTCGTGAAAATGTCAATTCTCACCACACCACTCAATGCGATAAACTGCGTATTTGCCAACCCCCATTTAATACGCTCACAGTTTGTTCAGAAAAATACATTGTTGAACTGTTTGGGCTTTGTATGTTTTGACCATTTGGCACAGCGAGTCTGTGATGTTACAAAATATCTTCACTTCAGTTGAGCTGCATGTATGGTTTTTCCTATGATTGTGTATGTTTATATAGTCAATAGTAGGGATTTATGTAGAGCGGCTCATATATTAAATATCACATCTTCATGTTGATGTGGTTGTAATTAATGTGATGACCTTTACTTCACTGATAGCAGAGCCAGCAAAGAGGGAGATGCTTTCATGCCTATTGTAATGTGACATTAATGCATTGAATGCAATGATAGAATAACTATGAGTTTGATGTAAGTAATGTGTAGGTCTTTTAGGGACATGTGTTTATCTCGTGTTGGACATAAACCTCACTTATGGAATGGCTATTACGTAACCATGTTGGCGTGGGTGAAGATGAGCATGTCTGATGATGTTGATGAACATGTCCGATGGTGTTGATGAACATGTCTGATGGTGTTGATGAACATGTCTGATGGTGTTGATGAACATGTCTGATGATGTTGATGAACATGTCTGATGTTGCTGAACATGTCTGATGGTGTTGATGAACATGTCTGATGGTGTTTATTAACATGTCTGATGATGTTTATGAACATGTCTGATGTTGATGTCTGATGTTGATGAACATGTCTGATGTTGATGAACATGTCTGATGTCGATGGTGTTGATGAACGTGTCTGGTGTTGATGAACATGTCTGATGGTGTTGATGAACATGTCTGATGGTGTTGATGAACATGTCTGATGGTGTTGATGAACATGTCTGATGGTTTTGCTGAACATGTCTGATGTTGCTGAACATGTCTGATGGTGTTGATGAACATGTCTGATGGTTTTGATGAACATGTCTGATGTTGATGAACATGTCTGATGGTTTTGATGAACATGTCTGATGTTGATGAACATGTCTGATGGTGTTTATTAACATGTCTGATGATGTTGATGAACATGTCTGATGTTGATGTCTGATGATGTTGATGAACATGTCTGATGTTGATGAACATGTCTGATGTCAATGGTGTTGATGAACGTGTCTGATGTTGATGAACATGTCTGATGGTGTTGATGAACATGTCTGATGGTGTTGATGAACATGTCTGATGGTTTTGATGAACATGTCTGATGGTTTTGCTGAACATGTCTGATGTTGCTGAACATGTCTGATGGTGTTGATGAACATGTCTGATGCAGGTTCTGAAGATCCGGGAGGTGCTGCGACAGCTGGAGAAGCCTAACGGGCTGTACCCCAACTACCTGAACCCTCGGACTGGCAAGTGGGGGCAGCGTAAGTGCATTGTTATGGAGTTGAGATCCTGATTGTTGTATGAACAAATGTGACATGTTTGCTTCTCCTGTGTTGGTTCTTGGAGTCTGACACCCTGACAGTGCTGGAACAATGCTGAAGAGACACAACCTCACAGCCTGTATCAGTCACTGTATCACGCACAGTAGTTGTTAGTGCTCATTAATCACTCCATGCTGAATCTGGTGTAGAAAGGTCCCCAGAAAGCCATGCTCAGGTTCAGTTCAGTGACCCTGACAGCACTGGACCTTGCCCATGTATCGATCACTGGTTTGTTTGGTTCCGGTTTGATTATTTCCAGTCCGCTGTGAGATTGTTGGAAAACTGCTGACTGTGGCATAAAACAGATCTGATTCTCCCGTGGCTGACTTGGCGACAAGGTCTGCTGGAACATTCAGCTAGTTTTTATTTCATTGGGCAATAGGCACCAGACGAAGCTTTGGATTGTTCCGGCAAATACTCAGGGTACCAGCATAACTCATATGTGTGACTATGATTATCGACCTGTGAAGATCCAGGTTTGGATAGGTCTTCAGCAACCCATGCTTGCCATAAAAGGCGACTATTCCCTTTGGAAGAGGCGACTAATGGGATCAGGTGGTCAGTTTAGCTGACTTGGTTAATGCATGTCATCGTATCCCAATTGCGTGGATCGATCTTCATGGTATCAATCACAGGATTGTCTGGTCCAGACTTACAGACCGCTGTCATATAGCTGGATTATTGCTGACTGCGGCGTTAAACAACAAACAAACAAAGACTATGATTATAAAATTTATGATCCTGATGTATTTTGTGTTGCAGTTGCGGTGTCAGTTGGGGCTCTAGGAGACAGCTTCTACGAGTACCTCCTTAAGCAGTGGATCATGTCGGGCAAGACGGACACAGTCGCCAAGGAGATGTACGATGAAGCAGTGAAGGTAACAAGCTTTATACGTGTCGCAGTTTATGTTGTGATAAACCAATTGCAAGTGATTCCATTTAATTACCTAACTAAGCAGTTCTTTATGTGTTTATGTATCCATAAACCGAAAATAAATTAGGTCACACCAACTAATGGACTGCTGTTTTCTGATTGGTTGATAATGGAACGGTGTGGGTGTGTGGTCTATGCTATTCACTATTCAACCTATTGCAGCATGTATGTAATTGTATCTACATTGATCTCCATTAGTCTCAGATTAGAACTTGACGTGACAAAGACTTACAACATTTGTTGGGCAAGAGAGATAGTAAATGAATTTTCAATATCAATTCAGTAATGGAAATGTGCCCTTTTTGTTTGAAACCATTGATAAAAGGGTACATGAATCGTGTGGATGTAGTGGATCTTCAGCCTGAAGGTTTATATTTGCATTAGTCTGTTCTATTCTGATTTCTGAAAAAGCGTGTTTGTTTACAAACAAGAGAAAAGTCCGGAGTGCAGGATTGGTTCTCACAATAGGATCTGATCTGGTCTAGACTCCTTATATCTTCCTCAACGAAGTAGAATATAGGAATGTCTGTCCATCATGTTTCGGTTCCGGAGCAGAACTCAAAAACCATGAGTCATGAACTGTTCCCTATTTTTCAACTTTCCATGGCGACGACCTTGACTGAAAATGGCGGTATTGGCAGGGGATATGAGTATCTCATGCTTGTTTGGAGGCTTTTATCATACCTGAGTGGATTCGGCTGAGTGGATTAAAGCACATGCTATCATACATGTGTTGCCCAATCCAGACCTGACTGTTTCCAGGCCTGACTGTTTCCAGGTTTTGATATTGCTGGAATACTGCGCTGTAATACACGCTCCCCATGTACTGTTGTCCTGCGGGGTATTGACCGTTTCCAGGCTTTGATATTGCTGGAATACTGCGGTGTGATACACGCTCACCATGTACTGTTGTCCTGCAGGGTATTGACTGTTTCCAGGCTTTGATATTGCTGGAATACTGCGGTGTAATACACACTCACCATGTACTGTTGTCCTGCAGGGTATTGACTGTTTCCAGGCTTTGATATTGCTGGAATACTGCGGTGTAATACACGCTCACCATGTACTGTTGTCCTGCGGGGTATTGACCGTTTCCAGGCTTTGATATTGCTGGAATACTGCGGTGTAATACACGCTCACCATGTACTGTTGTCCTGCAGGTTATTGACTGTTTCCAGGCTTTGATATTGCTGGAATACTGCGGTGTAATACACGCTCACCATGTACTGTTGTCCTGCAGGTTATTGACTGTTTCCAGGCTTTGATATTGCTGGAATACTGCGGTGTAATACACGCTCACCATGTACTGTTGTCCTGCAGGGTATCTGACTGTTTCCAGGCTTTGATATTGCTGGAATACTGCGGTGTAATACACGCTCACCATGTACTGTTGACCTGCGGGGTATTGACCGTTTCCAGGCTTTGATATTGCTGGAATACTGCGGTGTAATACACACTCACCATGTACTGTTGTCCTGCGGGGTAGTGACTGTTTCCAGGCTTTGATATTGCTGGAATACTGCGGTGTAATACACGTTCACCATGTACTGTTGTCCTGCAGGGTATTGAGGACAAGCTGATCCAGACGTCCAGCGGAGGCCTCAAGTACTTCGCTGAATACAAGTCCGGGCGTCTGGAGCACAAGATGGACCATATGTCCTGCTTTGCTGGTAGGGAGGAAACTCTACATCATAGTCTCAGTCTCTCTTGAATGTACTGGCCCAAACGATCTCTTGAATGTACTTGCTCAAACTATCTTTTGAATGTATTAGCCCAAACGATCTCTTGAATGTACTGGCCTAAATGATCTCTCAAATGTACTGGCACAAAATAGCTCTCAAATGTGCAGGCTCAAACTATCTCTTGAATGTACAGGCACAAACTATCTCTTGAATGTACAGGCCCAAACTATCTCTTGAATGTGCTGGCCCAAACTAGCTCTCAAATGTACAGGCTCCAACTATCTCTTGAATGTGCTGGCCCAAACTATCTCTTGAATGTGCTGGCCCAAACTATCTCTTGAATGTGCTGGCCCAAACTATCTCTTGAATGTGCTGTCCCAAACTCCCCTTGAATGTGCTGGCCCAAACTAGCTCTTGAATGTGCTGGCTCAAACTATCTCTTGAATGTGCTGGCCCAAACTAGCTCTTGAATGTACAGGCCCAAACTAGTACATCTACATCTTTACACTTTACGCTAAACATAACAGCTCTCATAAGCTAATTTTTATAGAATGACATTTGTCTGAACTCAGGTTTCGGACTAGTGGCAGACTGGTCTTATTAATCCTTGTGGTGAATTACTGGAATTTAAAGATTTTCATTTGCTTTTTTCCAGGTGGAATGTTTGCTTTGGGAGCTGAGGATTCCAATGACAAACAGAAATATCTCAATCTTGGTGCTGAGATAAGCAAGACTTGCTACCAGTCTTATGACCGATCACGTAAGTCCTGACAACAGCAGGCTGATCAGATTCAGGGTTGTAAAATGAAGTGGAGGGTGGGTTGCAGTCTGATTGGTTGATAAGCAGTGTTTGATGGGATTGGGGCGGAGTTTCTCTGGGTATGAAGACCTTTCTTGAAAAGGATCCTTTCTTACGCGATCCCAAAATATGTTGGGGAAAAACATGCCATTTTGCTAGACAAAGTAGATACCTCATTATTATGTATTACATTGGATAAGTTTTTATCAGAATAACTTTGATTGAATTGTTTTACTCCACGTTCTGTCAACCATACAACTGTCATGGTGGTGTTGTATCATGACACCATACATTGTATCATGACACCATACATTGTATCATGACACCATACGTTGCATCATGACACTATACGTTGTATCATGACACCATACGTTGTATCTTGACACCATACGTTGTATCTTGACACCATACGTTGTATCATGACTCCATACGTTGTATCATGACTCCATACATTGTATCATGACTCCATGCGTTGTATCATGACACTATACGTTGTATCATGACTCCATACGTTGTATCTTGACACCATACGTTGTATCTTGACACCATACGTTGTATCATGACACCATACGTTATATCATGACTCCATACGTTGTATCATGACACTATACGTTGTATCATGACTCCATACGTTGTATCTTGACACCATACGTTGTATCATGACACCATACGTTGTATCATGACACTATACGTTGTATCTTGACACCATACGTTGTATCTTGACACCATACGTTGTATCATGACTCCATACGTTGTATCATGACACTATACGTTGTATCTTGACACCATACGTTGTATCTTGACACCATACGTTGTATCATGACACCATACGTTGTATCATGACACTATACGTTGTATCTTGACACCATACGTTGTATCTTGACACCATACGTTGTATCATGACTCCATACGTTGTATCATGACTCCATACGTTGTATCATGACACCATACGTTGTATCTTGACTCCATACGTTGTATCATGACTCCATACGTTGTATCTTGACACCATACGTTGTATCTTGACACCATACGTTGTATCTTGACACCATACGTTGTATCATGACACTATACGTTGTATCTTGACACCATACGTTGTATCTTGACACCATACGTTGTATCTTGACACTATACGTTGTATCTTGACACTATACGTTGTATCTTGACACTATACGTTGTATCTTGACACCATACGTTGTATCATGACACCATACGTTGTATCTTGACTCCATACGTTGTATCATGACTCCATACGTTGTATCTTGACACCATACGTTGTATCTTGACACCATACGTTGTATCTTGACACCATACGTTGTATCATGACTCCATACGTTGTATCATGACACTATACGTTGTATCTTGACACCATACGTTGTATCTTGACACCATACGTTGTATCATGACTCCATACGTTGTATCTTGACACCATACGTTGTATCTTGACACCATACGTTGTATCTTGACACCATACGTTGTATCATGACTCCATACGTTGTATCATGACTCCATACGTTGCATCATGACTCCATACGTTGTATCTTGACACCATACGTTGCATCATGACACCATACGTTGTATCATGACACTATACGTTGTATCATGACTCCATACGTTGTATCTTGACACCATACGTTGTATCATGACACCATACGTTGCATCATGACACCATACGTTGTATCTTGACACCATACTTTGCATCATGACACCATACGTTATATCATGACACTATACGTTGTATCTTGACACCATAAGTTGTATCATGACACCATACGTTGTATCTTGACACCATACGTTGTATCATGACACCATACGTTGTATCATGACACTATACGTTGTATCTTGACACCATACGTTGTATCTTGACACCATACGTTGTATCATGACTCCATACGTTGTATCATGACTCCATACGTTGTATCATGACACCATACGTTGTATCTTGACTCCATACGTTGTATCATGACTCCATACGTTGTATCTTGACACCATACGTTGTATCTTGACACCATACGTTGTATCTTGACACCATACGTTGTATCATGACACTATACGTTGTATCTTGACACCATACGTTGTATCTTGACACCATACGTTGTATCTTGACACTATACGTTGTATCTTGACACTATACGTTGTATCTTGACACTATACGTTGTATCTTGACACCATACGTTGTATCATGACACCATACGTTGTATCTTGACTCCATACGTTGTATCATGACTCCATACGTTGTATCTTGACACCATACGTTGTATCTTGACACCATACGTTGTATCTTGACACCATACGTTGTATCATGACTCCATACGTTGTATCATGACACTATACGTTGTATCTTGACACCATACGTTGTATCTTGACACCATACGTTGTATCATGACTCCATACGTTGTATCTTGACACCATACGTTGTATCTTGACACCATACGTTGTATCTTGACACCATACGTTGTATCATGACTCCATACGTTGTATCATGACTCCATACGTTGCATCATGACTCCATACGTTGTATCTTGACACCATACGTTGCATCATGACACCATACGTTGTATCATGACACTATACGTTGTATCATGACTCCATACGTTGTATCTTGACACCATACGTTGTATCATGACACCATACGTTGCATCATGACACCATACGTTGTATCTTGACACCATACTTTGCATCATGACACCATACGTTATATCATGACACTATACGTTGTATCTTGACACCATAAGTTGTATCATGACACCATACGTTATATCATGACACCATACGTTGTATCATGACACCATACGTTGTATCATGACTCCATACGTTGTATCATGACTCCATACGTTGCATCATGACTCCATACGTTGTATCTTGACACCATACGTTGCATCATGACACCATACGTTGTATCATGACACTATACGTTGTATCATGACTCCATACGTTGTATCTTGACACCATACGTTGTATCATGACACCATACGTTGCATCATGACACCATACGTTGTATCTTGACACCATACGTTGCATCTTGACACCATACGTTATATCATGACACTATACGTTGTATCTTGACACCATACGTTGCATCATGACACCATACGTTGTATCATGACACTATACGTTGTATCATGACACCATACATTGCATCATGACGTGTGCCCAAATGGCCACAAACTGCAATTTCTTGTGTGTACCTTAGATGTTCCTGAAGTCTGTGGTGATGTTTTAAATCCCCGATTCTCCTGATAGTGTGGTTAGGTTGCTCAGCAGCATCTCTGTAATTGTGGGTTTTACCCAAGGGAGAAACATCCACGACCAGCAATACCTTGACCTTTCCTCCCACATCTAGCTGACACACAGACATTACTGAAATACTGTTGAAACTGCATTAAACCAAACTCATTTAGTTCCAAGTAGAGGTAAAATATGATACAGAGGTAATAGTGTTCGAAGCAGTGTTAGACCCAACTAACTCACTCCCTCTGTCACATGATTTGACCACTGTTTTCTTTCTTCAGCAACGAAACTTGGTCCTGAGGCATTCCGATTTGACAGCACAACAGAAGCCAAAGCTACAAGACAGAATGAAAAGTACTATATCCTCCGCCCTGAGGTGATAGAAACTCACTTCTATATGTGGAGGTTCACCAAGGACAAGAAGTACCGAGACATTGCCTGGGAGGCTGTGCAGGTCAGTGAGGAGAAGGACGTTCACACCACTTGGACCACGTATATCCACCATACACATGTCCACCATACACATATCCACCATACACATATCCACCATACACATATCCACCATACACATGGGTTGCACCAAGATCTGTGCAGAGTTCCAGCCATTAATGCTGGAAACCTATGACCGTTGATTCAAATCACGGTTCGCCCTATATTTCTAGTTTGGGTAGCACCCTACCCATACCCGTGAGTTTCACCAAAGTGGTCAACATCTGAGACCTGTATCACTTCAGGCCAGCATCCCTCAACAAGCTGACACACAGCGATATAACTGAATCTGTTCAAAGAGTAGTATATGTATATAACTATATTTACATATACACAGTTCTTGACTACTGACTTGATAAAGTTACTTGCACCTCGTCCATAAGTCTAGCCCCGAAACAGGAACATTGGTCGGGATATATTCTTGCAAGCTGATTCTCTGTAACCATGGTCATGTATAATCTTCCTGGTGTCCTCACAAACTCATCTCCTTTCCTATCCAATCATTTGATAACCCTCAGCTTGAGAATGTGAGAAAACCTCCATCGGAGGCCCCATCGAGTTCCCATCAGGTTAACCCCAATCAAACCCCATCAGGTTAACCCCACGGAAACCCCAATCAGGTTAACCCCAAGGAAACCCCATCAGGTTAACCCCAAGAAAACCCAATCAGGTTAACCCCAAGGAAACCCCGTCAGGTTAACCCCAATGAAACCCCATTAGGTTAACCCCAAGGAAACCCCATCAGGTTAACCCCAATCAAACCCCATCAGGTTAACCCCAAGGAAACCCAATCAGGTTAACCCCATCAAGTTAACCCCAAGGAAACCTCATCAGGTTAAAAAGGGGGCGGTCTGGTAGCCTAGTGGTTAAAGCGTTCGCTCGTCACGCCGAAGACCCGGGTTCGATTCCCGACATGGGTACAGTGTGTGAAGCCCATTTCTGGTGTCCCCCACCGTGATATTGCTGGAATATTGCTAAAAGCGGCGTAAAACCATACTCACTCATCATCAGGTTAACCCCAAGGAAACCCCATCAGGTTAACCCCATCAGGTTAACCCCAAGGAAACCCCAAGGAAACCCCATCAAGTTAACCCAAATGAAACCCCATCAGGTTAACCCAAGGAAACCCACCCAATCTAAACCTTTGTTAATATCTGAAACTGAGTGATGCCTATTAAAAGTTCAGCTTTTTCCCATCTGTGATAATCTGTGGGGAGGGAAGCTGGATTATATTGGGATCCTTAAAACACAGGAATTACCCTTTCCTGATGTTGCCAGGGAATATTGTCCCACTGATCATGCTCATAGTAATGTTTCTTCCTGCAGGCTCTGGAGAAATGGTGCCGTGTGGAAGGCGGCTTCACGGGGATCCGAGATGTCTACCAGATCAACCCCCCACAGGACGATGTACAACAGAGCTTCTTTTTAGCTGAAACACTAAAATATTTATACCTTATTTTCTCTGAGGATGATCTTTTACCTCTAAATAAATGGGTACTAAATACTGAGGCACATCCCTTACCCATCTTGTCCTGAATTTTTTTTCTCTACTTAAAATTTGATCGTCATTGAAATGTGCACAAAACCTTGGTCTTCTTGAAAGAAAGTCTTACCAGCAACTTCTAGTGCATGTTGTCGGTGGAGTATTCTAGGCATTTCCTATGTGTTCTGAATGGCTGTATGTGTAAATATCTGTTGATGGCGCAGTGTGCAAGGGTTTGGGAGACTTGATAATTTATCACCATATTAATATTGTGTTTTTGTCTGTGAACAGAGAAGCATCGTCATGTATTATACGTACCTGGGTAGTATTGGTTTGATTAAATCAATAATTAAAACATATGTATATACGTGTAATAATTATTTCATAATATATGTGTTAAACAACGTTATCTGTAGATGAAGCAAAGAGATGTATAAGTGTGATTATTAACACAAGTTTATAATTGTATTGTAGTATCGTCAGTGATGATATTGTGATTATTATTAGCCCATATATTGTATGATCATGTATGAAAAATAAGTGGTCGATGTTTCTTTGAAAAAAATGGCAGGTTTTAAGAATGAAACACTTGTGTTTCCAGAGAAGAGTCACAAAAGTAACATTTCAATATAACATGATACCTGTGATTGACTTACAGGTCGATGACCCCACAATGATTTCAGGTCGATGGCCCCACAATGATTGCCTTATCATTTAGGGTTTTGCAGGGTTGTAAAAAATGAAATAGCAATACCTCGTATACAGCTGAAGGTATGACTGTCTTTTTACCTTGGAGTTCTAAAGGAGACAGGGTAGCCATGGTTTAGGTGCTGCAATTTCACTGTACAGGATTGTGCCCTGAATGTGGGTTCAGATCTCAGATTTGACCTGATTATTATGCCCGGTCTGTTGTTTCACCAAAGTTGTCATCATTCTGGACCATTTGGAGTTTTCCTCCGTCATAAAGTTGACATGCAGTAACATGACTGATATACTGAAAGTTTAACTCTCATGTTTCCTTCCATGTATAGGGATGAGAATTTTGCCTGGATTTTGTTACCTCAAGAGTTGCGTCTTTAGATGAAACCCTTTCTCTAGTTCCTGGAGCTGACAGCATGTACACATGCATACACCATGTAGGGTTGTCTCCGCCACAACCTCGTAGTTTTAAGATTTTTAATTTATTCAAATATACAGCCTAAATTTTAGGATTGTGTCCCCAAGGTTGAGGATATAATACAGTGAAGCCCTCTTAATCCAGACCCTGTTAGACAAGACATCATCTAGGCCTGGACCCTGTTAGACCAGACACCTGTAATTCTGGACCCTCTTAAACAAGACACCTATAAGTCCAGACCCTGTTTGACCAGACACCTGTAATTTTGGACCTGTTAGACCAGACACCTGTAATTCTGGACCTGTTAGACCAGACACCTGTGTGTCTTGACTCTAGGCAGATGGCTGACACACAAATATGTATTGCTATCAATACAAATTATTCTTTACAATGAATTTTTTGCTGACTTGTAAAGTCTGGATTGGCAGGGCTTTACTGTACAAAAGGTCTGTCACAACTGAGTAATCAAAAACGTGTCATGTGTTGTTTGTCATCTGTTGTGTGATATCTGTGTCGGTGTGGAAGATGTGTACAAGCAAGGTATCGGTGCCTTGCAGCAGTTTTTGAGTGCTAGTATTATTTCCTTTCTACTCATTCTTTTGGTGGTTATTTAAGGGAAAACACAGTGCTTGGATGACAAGAATATTATCCTAAATACTCATATGGGGCACTTAGAATGTAGCCACAGTTGATGCAGAGTAGTGTAATTATGTCTACTGTGTCACTATTGTTTGATGCTCATGCTGTCAACCACAGATTTGCCAGCTCAAGAAGTATTACATGTTGTAGGCCATCTTGCTGACTACAGTGTAAGATATTTAGTGAAATGTTTTTGTGTGTCCTTGGTAATGATCGGGTGCACGGGTGGCCTAGTCGTCTAAAGCACCGCGATTCGCTGTGCAGACTTGTGTCCTTTGGGAACGCTAGAAACCTATGATTGTGGGTTCAAATCCCGGTTCACCCCAATTATGTTTCTAGGTTTGTCAGCACCATACTCGTGCTCGTGGGTTTCACCGAAGTTGTGAACGTCCAAGACCTGCACCACTTCGATCTTTCCTCCCACATTAAGCTGACACGCCACGATATAACTGTAATACTGTTAAAAGCGGCATTAAACCCAACTCACTCACTCACCTTGGTAATGATCACCCAAAGCATGATGTGAAAGACTGTAATCGATGTCATGAAAGTTCCTTTCAGTTGAACTGCAATAGGTGCCTACATGAGGTGGTTTTGAAAGTCTAGTGTGTGTTGTGTTTGTGGACTAGACAACGAAACTCAGTCGTCAGTGTTCTACAGAAAGTGTAGATCTTCTCATGCATATCCTAGAAAGCCATGTTCATACCACTTAAGAAGTTCATCTGGTTTAACGATGCGTCCTGTGTACAATGAAGGATCCTTCCATTCCATAACAGTCATGTTTCCTGTCGCTGTCAGTCTGGAGAATGTAAAGATTACCCTTGATGTTTGCCGAAGGTACACAGTGTTGAGATTGAAACTATCTTCTTGTTCAAAGGTCGCGTTTCTGTTGGTAATTGGTTGCTTCAGAAGTATGGTTTATGGTCCTGTAATAACCAGTGGGATGAAGCCACCATTCTCTTTTGATGATCAGGAAATAAACAACATTTTCTCATGGCTTTAAATTACAACTTTTTCATGCTACCTTTTGTAATTAATTGGTTTGTAACCTGTACATGTTGATTTGTCCATTTACCTCTGGCGATAGCTGTGGTACATCTTTTAGTCTTAGGATGGATCAATGCTTTAGGGCAATATAAATCACTACAGAGTGGCATCCCTTTGAGGATATGCATGTGGTGGGTTCAATCGCTAACTGTTTGATTGGCAAGAAGAAGTTGGTAAGTTAGAAAGCATACAACTTTATGGATAAAAACTTTTTGTTTTTTGCATATAGCGATGTTTCGATGTGGATTCTTAGACCGTTATCAAGCTTGGGTGAGCGCTTGATAACGGTGTAAGAACCTACTAGTACATCGAAATGTCGCTCTATGCAATAAACCAGAAGTTCTTACCCCTAAAGCTGTTAACTTTCTTAATATAAGTCACTACAGAGTTGCATCCCTTTGTCGTATCAGGATATCCATGTGGGGGGTTAGGATTCCATGTTTTCAGCACCATAACTTGATTGTGGGTTTTACCACGGAGGCAAGTGTCTGACCTGCGTCCCTTCAGGTTCCCCGCCAATCAACACACTGATATAACTGAAATATTGTTGTAAGCTGTGTCAATCCTGACTCTTGTAATTCTATCTCTGAGTATGAATAAGGGAGAATAGGGAACAATTTGTATTTTGTGTTTCCATTGACCACCAGGTTTAAATAGGTATTCAGATATATTAAAATAAATATAAAAGGGGTATTTATTTAACCCAGTGATTTTGAATGAATTTGGTAGAATTCATTTCTAGGTAGCAATAAAACTTGTTTCCAAGTTTCAGGTTGGCTGTGAACATGTTAGCTGGGTGACAAAGAACCAATATTCATACAGCTTCCTTAAACTTCTATCTCAAGGACAGATCCAACATTTTTAAAAGGGAGGGGTTCAAAATATCAAAATATTCTCAGATAATGGTACTGCCTACACAATACTACACTGCTTTTCAAAGGAGGGGAGGGGGGGCCTCTGGATCCCCCTATGTATCTGGATCAACTACATTATCAGGGTCAGGCCTCTGTTTTCATCACTTTGTATACAGAGATCTTCCTAAACTCAAGGACCAGTGTTTTAAAAAACTGATAAAATCACAATTTAAAAACTACAGTTTTAACGGTCAAGTGGACTAATAAAGATAATAATAATATAAAAAAAAGAGGTTTTGTTGAAAGATTGCTTCCTACAAGTACTTTCATGTTACTGAAATAAGTTGACAAGCATGGCATGAACATTATTTTTTTTAGGAAAATTTGGGTTTTGTTTCTGTTTAACAAGTAATAATACCTTGTATGTATTGGATGCTGCAGAGGACCACAGTAATGTACTTCATGGCCACTGCTTGGTGGATGGATCAGTGTCTTGTGTTTGCTCCAATTATGGCTCTGTGGTAGGTATATATGTACTAGGTAGACTGTAGCAGCTAGGAAATAGACGATGAACTTCACTTGCATATTGTCACATAGATCTCTTGTTTACCCTGATATTCACCAGTAGACTGTACATAGAAGGTAGCTGTACAATCATGTTGGTTAATAATTTCCATAAGATGTTGATGTCAGTTGATAGTGGTAGCATTGACTAAGACTGGTGTACACAGAGATGCCGACCAAGTTACGAATAAGTGAAAATTATTACGAAAACTTTGCTAAAACATGGCCAGCATGACTGGGTTTTGTCATTACTTACAAGTGTGTATTATTTCCATGTTTGCTCGGCCAAGTTTCTACATTGCTTAATACATCCTTCAACTAATAATCATGGATGTTGCCAGGTAATATGAAAAAGATGGGTTTTCTTAAGATTACTCATTTTGAGCTTGCTCAATTTTGGGTTCTTGTGGCAACCATCTTTGACCTGTGTCACTTCAGGCTTTCCTCTCACATCAAGATGACATACTGTCTTATGAAGGGAATACTGTTCAAAGTGGCACTCAATTTAGGGTTGGCACTAGTGTACATATAACCTTTGTCACCATTTAGATTTGGAAACAACGGATACGACATCACTTATTTAAATTTCGAAAAAAACTTGAAGGATATTTTGTTGTTGAGATGTTAGATAACAGCAGTTCTGACTGACTTTAGCATTTATCAGTTCTTACTTAATGTTGTTATGAAAGATACATTATGGGAGAGAAGTACTTCCATAAACTAGGCGTGTAAGTGCTGGCTTCTGTGTGTGGAATCTCCAACAGTCTCGTCCTGACGGGAGCAGATGTCTGTTTTTATGAATCAATTACTTTTATCGTCTGGCTGTGGTTTCCATGTATAGTGTTTCTAGTTTGTAAATAGTGTTTGCAATTTTAAACAAGAGATTCTGTATGTTGCTTAATAGTTGGTTTAAGTTAGACTGCCCTGTGTGTGTGGCCTTTCTGCAATCATGTTGTTTAGCAGATCCAAGAAACAAGTGCTTCAACAAGTACTTTAACCTCCAGTTAGGTAGGCCCTTGCTTCACAGATTTATTGGTCTAGTGGTCTATCTCCCAATATACATGAGGTCCTACAAGAAGAGTTGTTTTGAGGTCACTTTCCTTTAAAATAAATCTAAACATTATAATAAAAAAATTAATGAAATCACAATTTTGGATAGGTTCATCCATAAAACAAGAAAAAATTTGTTTTTCTTCAGGAGAAATGTACACTTGCGTGAGAATCTCTTCACCATCACCTCATATACAAGAAAAACATTTTCAAATAGCTTCTACGTTTTAATTGAGTTAGACATGCCATTCATCCAGTTAAAATGATTCAAGGTGGGCAGCTCGCTGCAACAAGTGACAGATGTTTAGGGAGTCATTTCTTATTGAGACGTTGATAACTGCTGCTCTGTTGATAGTAAGTTTAGAATGTTTTCTTCAATCAGTAATTTAATATTGATGCGAGCCTTAAAGCTGTAACCCTTATACAAGTAATAAGATTCAAGTTTAATGCATTATTCCTCATGGTTATTTTATTTATAGTATTGGTGTAGTATCTTGTTGAAGGGCCTTTGTTCTCGTAGAATTAAGAAACTTCAAAACCCCAATGACATTGTGACAGTGTTCCTTTTGAGAAAATATGTGTAGTTTCCATGTCCATGTAATTCACTCATTTTATATTTTATGGCGTCAAAGAAACCTTTGTCTGAAGTGAGATTTATGCACTGCCTTCTTCAAGAATGTGGCACTGGTGGGCTAATGTCTAAGGCACCAGAATTTGCTGTGCAGAGTTGCAGCCCTTAGGTTTGGCAGGAGCCTATGATCATTGGTTTAAGTGCCGGACTGTTTCTAGGTTTGTCAGCACCATGCTCTCTAGCTCATGGGTTACACCTTAGGGGTAATGTCAAGAACCTGCATGACGTTGGTGTTGTCTCAAACGTCAGGTAGCCTGGTGGTTAAAGCGTTTGCTCGTCACGCCACAGACCCAGGTTCGATTCCCGACATGGGGACAATGTGTGAAGCCCATTTCTG